AGGCCACGAGATGTCAAAGATGCCCAAACGATGGCCGTTCAAAGGAACGGATTCGCTAGGACAGAAGATAGGTTCCTATCGGTTCATAGAATGTTCAATCAACTTATTTATCGTGCCGATTCCGTAGCAAGCGCGATGACAAACAACACCGTAAGTGATTTGAGATCACCAATCGAGGATCGAGCAACTTATTTTCGGCGGAAACTTGATCATAATTCGAACTTGACCAAAATTCGAATTGTATCGATGTTAGCCTAGTAAACACCAACTAACACACACAGAAAAATATATCTTGTACGTAAATAGACAATAATTATTTGTTTGAAGTATTTTAATAGTTTATATAATCGTAAATCTATCCAGCATCAAATTCAAAATATATGTTAAATCCTAATAATACTTCAATCAAGATTGTTAAATTAAAACAAATTTGATTTGCTTATAAAATCGCTTCTCCGATTTTATAATACATTCGTCAAAAAAAAATAAATTTTTGTTTTAAATACATTATAGTGAGTTTTCCTAAAAGTTGTAATAAGTATAATTTAAGATCATTATCGATTATCACGAAAATATTCTTTGTTAAAGATAACTAATGCTTAAAAGAAAGAAAGTATATATTAAGTAATATATTAAGTAATTATTGTTCTTAGCAATAAAATGATATTTTTTTGTGTACAATAACGTTACATAAACATTACATTATAATTTCCTACTCAACTAATATATAAATATAATCTAACACATATTATACATAACAGTTACATTGTTGAGTAGGAAATTATAACATCTCAAATTCCAACTAACAATAATGTTAATTATAACTATTAATTATAATTTTCCACTCAATGATATAACTGTAATATAACACGCAACAGTTATATTGTTAAGTGGAATATTATAACAGTTATATTACTGTTAGTTGGAGCTTAGGTATTGGAGTTGATGTAGTATTATTGTTAGTTGGTGCTTGCTAGGAGAATTCTCGGATATAATTTTCAGCCAGTGAGAAATACGATTTGAATGATCCTATCAACTTATCGCTCTGCAGTCATCTTTTTATACATTGACACAAGTAAATTACGGTAGTACATTGCGATTTTCTTACGAGTATAAAATTTGTATTTGCATATTTTGATAGATTTCTTTAGGTACAAGCCTGAACAATAGTTGTAAATAACGAAAGCTGATGAAGCAAATAGAATGAATATTCACTTTTATCTTTTTTCCCCTTTTTTTCCATTATACATTTACGACCACCTCATTCGCGGTTTTATCATATTTCTCGTTTAATACTTTCATATAAAATGTTTCTGCGGCTGATAGACTTAAGTCTCCTATCAAAGACCTTTTACCGGGGACGTGTACGTTACTTCTCCTGGCGGCCACGTTACTTCATTAGGCATTGTACCTCGTGCGCGCACCCACGTAACGATCCATTCTTCTAGATGGCGAAACGCGTCATGTGGCATTAACCATAATGGCAGGCGACGTAATAGACTTTTCCCCCCATTTCACCGTTATTCGTACGCGTCGACTTTTCTCCGGAGCGTTTTCTCAGGTGATAATATTTCTTGCGCGCGCACACGCACGCTGTGCGAAGTTACCGCGATTTTTATAAGAGTTAACATATCTCGTGACGAGTTTCAGGAAATTTGACTATATGTTTATAAGCCTCTTCTTTTTATCAGAAAAAGATTTTGCTGAAATATCTCCCTTTCTCAAAATTTAACTAGATACAAATTTAAAAAAAATTTGAAATAAAATTACAGTAAAAACAAATTTGTTGGACCATCAAAATATTTATAAAAAATTCAAGCATAATGCTACAATATATTTTAAAGTAATTATCTGAAGCATGCTATATATATTATATATTATTAATGATAATCTCATCCTTTGAGTTTTAAAAGTAGCATTTTATGTTAAAATATAAATTAATTCATTTTTGTGATTAGTTTCCAAGTAAACAACATCCGTATTAATGCGTATAGTAAATAAAAAATTAAATTTAAGTCATAAATAAAGAATACATTTTCTTAAGATAAATTGTTTTATAACTCCATTGCTTTAATTTAATTAATGATATATTGAATAAAAACAATTGTGCGATGATTCAATAGAAATAATTAAAAATAACTCAAATAAAGTTTAATTTGATTAATAATTTAGCGGAGACCGAGATTCGTTATTGTACGAGATTAATTGAAAAATGTTTATAATTAATTCAGACAGAACATCGCAAAAAAATCTTTTTTTTTACTGTAAATTACTAATATAACATTAATTCGTTGTGTAAAATGATTTGCACCACAAGCATTGTATATTATATTTATAGCGATTTTTAAGAAAATAAAGTTAACGAGTAAATTATTTTTATCATCTATTTTGTTGTCTGACAAGTCTTTGCTATCAATCACAATATCCCTGCATTCATAGAAAATGACATGTCTTAGAAGATCTTTGCTACAATTAATTAATCATTATCCTAATAAAGTTTGTGAATACAATCTCTTTTATTAAAAATGGCTGTATAGAGTAGATTGATCAAAATGAGACCAGATTAGGTGATAATTAATTTTAATATCTTTAAAGAACACATTTTTAGAGAATATACTCATAAATCTTATATATTTCATATAGATATATATATATATTTTTCCATTTTTCATATAGAAATTACGATATAAAAAAATTACATATTTTATGATTAAAATAACTATTTTATTTATATTAATACCATAATTACTATTATTTCTCAATATATAGCACTAATATTAAAATAGAAATTGTATTTTTTATATGTATTGTCCACAACAAATATGCTATTCCTAATTCTAGAACGTGTGACAATCAACTCAGAACACGGGGTTAATTGTCATATTTTCACAGCTTCATTTAAAATTGAATAATTTATTTTAACGATATAATGAATTCATGAGTAATATTTTTTTAATACCTAAAGGATGTAGGTACATTATAACGGATATAATATTTCAAAATCAGGTATCCATTTTTTTCTAAAAATCACTATTTTCAAAAACTATGACAACCGGTTTCCCCTACATTAATTAGACAATCCTACAAAATTATTTTCATATCTGTATATCTAATTTTTGGATACTTTTAACTTTTTAGATATTTTAACAAAATTTCTTTCTGTATGGATAAAATATAATAGACAGGTTCTTTCGGAGACGTTAATCAGGATTCGAAATTTTATGATTCAAATCTGCCTTATCCTATTGATCAAATGAAAGATCGATGTTGAATAGATATCAATTAGCGTAATTAATGTTATCTACTCTCCTCTCGTGTCTCGTTAGATTAGATAGACGACGTAATCGAATCGATCAGTTTGCCGGACGTAACTCGTGTAACAAAACGTGCAAATGGCGACAGGTGTTCAAGGACGTGACATAAGAGTATTCCTCCGCCGTTGTCATTGTCGTCATCAGTATAATTTCGACAGTGCCGTAGCGGTACTCTAAACGACATAGCATGAAAAATGTATAAGTATTTCTCCGAGAATAAAACGCTCCACACTCCACTCTTACGCGCTTCTTCATTTCCTCTTTTATCTAAAAAAATTCTGGTGTCCATTTTTATTCCCTCGTAAAGTAAAAGAAAAATTTTTCTTCTTAAATATCTGTAAAATATATTAAATTGAATTAGTAATCGAAATGTACAGAGTATCCCGAAATTCGCGACTCAAAATATTATAGCAAGACATTGATCCTCGATTAAATAAAAAAGTTATTCGTAAATTTTTTTACTGTAGATATTTTTTTTTGGATAATAAGAGTTTAAATATGGCCAGTTACAGACTACGTTTAGATCATGGACGGATGATCATCTAAACATAGTCTGTGATTTGCTATATTTAAATCCTTATTATCTAAAAAATTATCGTTTAAAATAAAAATTTACAAATAACTTTTTTACTTAGTTTATTGAAAATCTTTGTACTATTATATATTTCGAGAATTTTGGGACACTCTGTTATTGGCCCATAGGATAAAATATCGAATGTATAAAATTCACAAGAAGGACATAAATTATCGTTATCCTTTTCTTCAATGCCTTAACGACGGCACGTAGTTTAACGGACACGTCGTCACGTAACATTATTTGTGTGGATCAGGGGAGGAAATACTTTCCTTCACTGGAAAATATACCTGTTTGCAAGCATGTGCTGAATTCGATCGAGAGGTATTATGTAAAGCGGCGCATAGTGTATGAGTAAATTTATTATCGTAATAACAGTCATGTGTACAACGGGGAATAAATAAAATAAAATAGGAAATCATATATATTTACGAGAGACGACTCTGGCATGTAAGTATCTGGGATTTCACCGTGCAAAACGGCTTTCTTCATGCGAAACGAAAATCGATAATCGCGAAACAATCAGCGGCCCGTGCGGTAGAATGGCGATCGGCTTTTCGAAACGGGCTGCTGTCATAAATTACACGTCACACAGCTGAGTCATTTCGCGATTACATTCTCCCGATACCCGGATGTCTTCTCCCCTTAGGCCTTAATAACAAAATTCGCCGATGCAAAGGCTTATCGGCTTTAGTGATAATATATGCCCGATGGCGAAGGCAGTGCGTGTAAAAAGGTTCAGGACGATTTTTCAGAATTTGCCCCTTCGGCTTAAGGGACCTACTGCGTCTCAAATGTCGTCACGATCCATTAGCCGTGAGATAATATTGTGCAAACATGTTGCGGCCACACGGATGGAAAAGAGCAATCGTCGCTAATCGAGATACAATAGGGCATTAACCCTTTATTACTCGCGTGGGTTGTCCAAGACATCGCCTACCTTATAAATTTGCTGAACATATGAATGCTATTTATACACATTATTATATATTTAATGCAAATTGGC